CGTCCAATTGTGTGGTAAGGCTATAACCAATAAATATTAAAACATTTCTTAAATCGAACAATATTATTATCATTAAGTAAAGTTTCTAATTAAAGAATGACAATCTATTCTTTGTAATTTACCTTATGACCAAGTAATTTTAATTTTGATAACATTGCATCCAATATTAGAAATTTTCCACTAGCTTTAACAATGTTTTCATCAACAAGTATTTTGTTTTGCCCCGGAATTAAAGGCATATGAACAAGGTATGGATGATTACATATTTTCTTTAATTGAATAAATGGATTTAGTAATACTAATGAGACAGCCTTATCTTTTGGCTCAACTCTAAAATCCATAAAATACATCATTTATTTTATATTGTATAGTAAATATTAATTAAAATATATATTAGATTAGGTTAATATTWGGCAAGTGTAATTGTATAATATAAAATAAAACTATTTTTTTTGGAGGACAAAAACATTAAAATCATTATAACACATTTTACATTATTTAAACTTTATTGTTAAAAAGTTTAAAATAACAAGTGTTTTATATATTATATAACAAGATATCATTTTTAGAATAATAATTGAAAAAACAGCATTAGAAGATGTGAACTATTTTCGCAAAAATGTAGCAGAACCATTAGTTAATAGTGTATACTTTGCTTCTAATTTAAATATACTTAATACTTACTTTGGTTCTGGTTCAGTTTTTCTTATAACCCTATTCTCAGTATACCTTTGAATAGATTGTACACATTTCCTTTTAGACTTTACTCCAAGTTCGCTCTGAGTTACCTAAAAACAAACAAACTCTATAACCTCAAATTCAAATTGATATAACTACTGTGTTATTAGCAGTGCAGTCCCTAAAATTGTGTGTAGTACGACACACTTTGTGTAGTACAAAAAAYGCAGTGTGTAGTACAAAATTTAAAAGTGTGTTATAATAATAACCTTTATAATAATGTTCTATACAATTTTGATACAACAATACCTATTAATTCAGGATATCAAAAAGTTCTTCGGCCACAAAGAATAAAAAAAAAAAAACTATAATTTATATACTTAATATAGGTAATTTAAATTTATTTTTATTTATTTACTGATATTATGTATTTTCATGAATTTTGTACACTTAAAATGGTTTAGGTATATACAAAAAAAATTTTTTTTCAACAAAAATTCTATTTCACAAATATTTTTTTTAAACAACCTTTAAATTTGTTTATTTGAATTTTGAGGTACTACTTTATTTAAATAAAATTATTTATTGTAAATACATATTATCATTAATTGATAGGTATAATGTATAATTTAGATTTGACTGATTTGGGACTATGTGTCTATGTGTGTAGTACGAAAATTTGGATATTTTAGGGACTGTAGCAGTGGTGCACCCTGGAGGGTTCGAGAGTAGCAGCTGCTACCCCTGATTTTTTGGTAGGTGGGTGGGTACCATGGGTGGATGTCTCCAAGCCCCAAAAATATCCATAACATAACAATTCTACTATGTATACAAAAATTAAAAATAAACTATTAAATACTATAAGTATATAAGCTATAACCAGGGTTAGGATTTGTATGCAACAACAGCATGTTTTTTTTGCGACTTCTGAATATTGATTTTGTCAATAATGTCCATGAATCACCTCATGATGAGATAAATTGTGGGTTTTTTATTTTGCATGTTTTTGCATATTTTGAATAAAATGCATATTAATGCATATATTGAATAAAATGAATAATTATTGCATATTTCGATTATAAGAATGCGAAAAATGCATGTTTTACAGCATATTTAATTCTAGGTCTGCTGATTTAAGTATAAAACTTGGTTTTTTTGTCAAACACAAATTTTATTTTTATAAATACAAACCTATGGTGCAATAGGTATGCGATTAAAGATTGAATAGTTTGACGGAGAAAGATAAACACAATTAATAAGAGTATGTCCGTCAATATAAAATCTAAGATAGAAATTAAAATGCATATTTTTGCATCTTTTAGTAAATAAAATKCATATTTTACAATTTTTTATTACATATACAAATCCTAGCCCTRGCTATAACCATTACACTAAAAGCCAATATGCTACCCATGTTTATTTTTAAGTGTGTGTCACTGGTTATTAGTATTTAAAGTAAATAAGAAAGTAATTTATTTAATAGGATTGAATAAATGTTTTTTATAAGCAAAAAGAATTTGAAATTTGATTGCTGAATAAAAAACATTTAGTTATATTTTGAGATAAGACATTGGATTATGGGCCACAGAACGAAATTCACAGCATTTAAAAAGAAAATCTGCTAAGACAATTAGCTTAAAAAAAACAAATATTTTGTTGGTTTTAAAAATGTAGAATGTGATGCAAAATATCATTTAAAGACATAATCATGCATACGTTTAATTCACAAATACCACTTAATTTTTATCAAAATAATAAGCTATATTTAAAAAAAAAAAAATAGCCAAAGTCAGAGTTACCGACTTGTAATGATTGTTATTCTTAGTTTAACTTACAACATAAATTATTTCATAAATAACTTGATCTTTTCAACCAAGTATGTAATATTTTTTTGGAACAAACTAAAACAAAATTACCGGTTCTTTATTTAACAATGTATCCATTTCCTTGGACAAGGTAGCCATGTACAATTTGTGTTGCAGTTCAGTGACTGGAGCATAAATAACAATTTCTTTCTTTGGTGGTAAGTTTAGATCAGTCTCCGATTTTTGCCTTCTCAAAATAAAAGGCTTTAATATCTATAAAACATAAGTATAATATAGAATATCTGTAGTAAGTATTTATTAGTTATGMTTTGTGTTTCTTGGATACACACAGTGCCGTAGAAACCGCGGTGCGAGCGGTTCAATGCACCGGCCCCATGTTTCAATTTCTGATATAGGTCCCATGCCCCATACTTAAATAAAATAATATAAGAATTAAGAACTTGAAATAATACATAATTTTTTAAATAGGATCATGATAATATAATATTAGTAACATAAATATATAATGATAATGCTGTTATAGTACTTTGTTATTGTTGTCGGTTAACAGTATAGATGTGTGTTGCGATTTGATAAATGTCAATACTTGATTTCTTGTTATCGTTGCAACTAAAAATAGAATTATTGGGAAAATGATTTTGTGCATTATTATCGGCTCGATACTGGACACAGGTTAGATTTATCAGGAATTCTAGAAAATTACGTAAAATTACGTTCAATCTGTATTCAACTTTTTAGGTGGAAGTGCTCCAAGATGGGCATTATTGGTTCTTGGAATAGATAATGCAATAGCAGTTTGTAAGAAGTTTCTAAAAAAAGTATGTGCTACACRCTGGGAAGCTCGACATAATGCAGTATTTGCACTTAAAGAAAGATGAGCTGAAGACTCTTACAGTAATTAGTCTAACCAGCAAGAAAAATGAAGAGATTGTTCAAAGCAAATCWTTGCAAAAAAAAATTGAAAATATAGAATTTATTTTATTATTGTGTGTCTGGGAAAATATKTTAAGATYRGTCCAACCAGTATCCAAATGTTTGCAGTCTAATGATATCAACATACAAAATGCTTGCTCTTTACTTCGGCAAACAATTGGTACAATTGAAAATGTACGGATCTGTGTACCATCAATTATTCCAGCACCTCTACATTCACACCCTATGCGCGCTTATGTAACGGGCCCACAGATTAAATTTGCACCGGGGCCCATCTAGTTCTATCTACGGCACTGGATACACAGATAACATTCCAAAAAAGCTTTGTTGTTTTAAGTATTAGTTAATTTTACCTAATGTTAAACATAAATGATAACATATTTATTTTTTAAATATAAATTTAGTTAAAATAAATTTATATTTTTTAAAACAAGTAATAAATTATTATAAATTATTATATTTCACCTAATTTTAGAAGTTTGAAAGTTGCTATAAAATTAAAACATATTGATGAAAAACAAATGGAACAAGGAAATCACACAATGTTGCCTTAATTTGACACCAATTTTTATGTGTTATTTCTTTTTTTTTAATCATTAGAAATAACAAAGGAATGTGGAGTGTTAATTGAATAGGTACATTATGTGTATATTATATACATATATTTGTATAATATAACGTTTAAATATTAATAAAATTAATATGATTTACTTTTACTATGATATCCAATATTTCATCTTTAGTAGCTATATTGACAATCCGGTCATTTGTACCATGAAAGTCATTTAACACAAACCATGAGCTAAAATCTTTTATATCATTAAATAATTTAGGCATCAATAAATTTAACAAAGTCCATAGTTCATTCATGTTATTTTGAATAGGTGTCCCAGTAAGTATAAGTTTATTTGCACAAGCAAATTCACGCAGGCATCTAAATATTTATTTTGATATTAAATTTTTTTTTATCCATTATTTACCATAACAAAATATATTTTGCATACCTGTTTGTTATAGTTAATGAGTTTTTCAGCTTATGACCTTCATCAATTGTAATATACTTCCAATCATAACTTTTTAAGAATTTTGTGTCCATACGCAAAATTTCATAAGTTGTGATCACAATAGCATTTATGTTTAAATTTCCCACTTTATGATTTGTATTAATTTTTGTTCGAATTACATAGCGTTCTGTATCTGAACCATGGTACAATAAAGTCTTTAGCTAAGACAATAATAATCAGACATAAGTATTTATCATTAAATTGATTATTTTAAATTTTATTAAGATATTTACTTGAGGAGCAAATTTAATGAATTCGGATAACCAATTGGGAATTGTAGACAGTGGAGCAATAATAAGTAATGGTCCTCTTATTCCCATTTCCAAAAGGAAACAGTAGAAAGCTATAGTTTGTATAGTTTTACCAAGCCCCATATCATCGGCTAAGATACCATTTAAACCATTTTCAAACAATGTCTAAATTAGAATATCATAATTATACATATAATCGTTTTGAAGAAAGCATATTTCTAATTTGTATAAAATGAATACTGGCATTTTTTAAATGTATTTTTTTTTTAATTCTTACAATATGCACAATAGATGAAGCAATATTATAAGATAGAGTGGTTGGGTTGATTGAAAAAACCATTCAATAATAGTATTTTATGATGTAATCTAGTAAACAAACAAGTCACAAAAATGTTTGGATTCTATTTATAGTAACTGTCTTTGGCTAATCCCTGGAATGAATTGCATTCAGTAGGACCAGATAGGTTTGAGGAATTGCTTGTAGATAAGAATTGTATTATGTAGTGTGACATGTTAGGACGAAAGGAGTAGGCGAAGCTGTCTTTGACGATAGTTGAGAACTAGTTGCTAATTGTGTATGTGGGTGGTTCATGTGAGACGCAGATCTAGGTCAGCGTTTCTTAAACCGTGTTCCATGGAACCCTGGGGTTCTGCGTAGATTACTTCARGGTTCCACAAAAATTGAATTATTTTTAAAAAATGTTCAAGAAAATTACTTATAAATTAAATAATAATGTATAAGTCATATGGGATAATCTAACAGCTAACTCTATATTTAATAATCTATACTTCTACTTATTATTATAATTCATTAGCAAATAATCCTAAAAAAAAGCTAAAAAACTAAAAATAAGTAGAGGTTTCACGATAAAAGTGGAYATCAAAAAGGGTTCCAYGGATAAAAAAGTTTAAGAACGCTGATCTAGGTAATAAGCATTCTGAACAGTTGGAGGTTAATTGCTGAGTATAATTGGGAGAGGGRAGGAGGAAATTATGGGTCTGAGTTCAGTGGATTGACTTAGATTCGATTAGTTTGAAACTCCTTGTACAAAACTGAAAGCATGGCAGATTAGGTGGGTTTGGAATATATCGGATACCTTGATAGGGTCATAATATAGCTTTTAACATCAGTGGTCACCAGTGGTGGTGAGGTTGGTAGTGAGTTGGACTAATGTGTACAGATTGAATAAGAGAGATGCCACTATACCTCCTTGCAATACTCCAGCTCTAATAATTAATGGTATGTCAGATAAGGCTGAGTCATAATCATACAGAGAAATACTGTCTTCTAGATAAGATTTGTAGATTAAATAGAAGCTAGGAGGAAATAAAATGTAAAATTTTTAAGTTAAAAAGTTTAGCATATTAGAATATTATGAACTCAAGCATCAATGATATGGTTCATTACTTATTTTATTTCAACCAAAAACTAATTTCAAAAATTAATATATAAACAAAAATACATACTCTTATCCATAAAAGACCTTCTTTCTGATAATTTTTAAGTGTCCCATTAAATAATTTTGGTTGTTGAAATAACTTTAAATAATAGTTTTCATATTCTTCATTCTAAATAACAGTAAAAATTATTAATTAAGKACAGAAACTAAGTGATACACATACACTGTTTACTATACTGATTTTACTATCTGCAAGTGTAGTTAAAAAGAAAATTGTAAGAGCCATTATAATTATAATTGGTATAGCTTAGTCGCTCATGTGCTGTATGAAAATCAAAATTAGCAAATAAAAATATGAATAGCTATTTTTCAAAAACACCAAGTAAAAAGTAACCTGATATATTTTTAATTTATTCCGATTGKTAATGTGATGATAAGGGTTAAGATTGTTAATGACTTTTTCATACTTTAGTATACTTCAAACTTCAAAGTCTATTCAGGACTGTTGGGTATAAAATCTACTTTAAATAACCAAATCACTATGAACAATACTCTTACAACCATCAGAAATAGAATTCTTGAGCTAGAAATAATGTTAAAAGATAAAGAAGCAGTGGTGCAACTAGGATCTATTTTTGGGAGGGGTTTTTCATAAAAAAAAATTAATTAACAAAAGAAAACAAAGGTTTTCACATTGAAACATTTGACTTATAACATATTTTTTTGGGTGAGTTGGAGGGGAGGGTCACATCCCCCAAATCCTTCTTCTGATTGTGCCACTATAAAGAAGGTATTATTACAAACTTAGAATTTAAAATGAATGTTTTAGACCAAAAAGAGAGAGCTTGCTTTATTGAAATAAATGGTGTAAAAAGGTAATTTATGAAAACACTAAAGAATTAGTTAATTATATTGTATCAACAATTAATATTTATTTTATCTTAATTTCCTCGACATTGAGAAATGCTTACTGATAACCTTCAAACCCAAAACTAAAAATTCCACAGATAATCATACAACTTTCATTTAAACAAGAACTGCTAACTATTTTAACTAGAAAACATGGAATTAATCTTTAAGATATGCATTCAAATTTACAAAAACACTTACTTCGATTGTTTGATTATTTGAAACTGTATTTGGATTAACTTCAACATTATTCGGTATATTTTCATCAACTTTATTAGCTTTTTCCAGTTCGTTTCTACATGATTTGATAATTACTTTTTATACAATAATATAAATTTATATATTTTAATAAATGAATATAGACTCAATAGTGTACATTTTCCTGCAGAAAATGTCAACTAAAAAATTGAAAAGAAATTTCTCATTTTGTTACAAATTTAACAGAATGACTGATTTAACATAAAACATAAGTTTTATGTGTTTTAAGATGAGAATAATATAAGCCAATGAATCAGCTGGTAATTTTTTTTTTTAGAACAAATCACAAATAAGATAATATGGATATGGTTATTAATAATTATTAAACCATTTTAATATCTTAAGATATACTTAGATCATCCACTTTGGATGCAGCAAAGTATGTTATACTTCGTATATCTATCTATGTTCAACATAAACACTAACTTACTGTCATAATTTTTGGGTTACACTCCCTCTAACTGTGTATGCACATTTGTCTACAAAATATACATGCACCCTAAGTATATGATCTAAGCAWGTAACTGTATAGACCAAATTTAGTAATTTAATTATTATTAAACCATTGAACAATAAAACATTTTTAAATAAAGAAAAAAATAATTCCATATATGTACAAACACATATTTTTTAATTAAAAACATTGTTTCTGATATTATTATAATTTCTATACTATATTTCAAATGTGATTAGTACTGGGCAGTGATAAGTTTTTGTTGGAAACAGTCAGAAACATTGTTAGACACTTCTCTGAAGTCAACACGAAAGGCCAGTGCTTTGGAACAAAGCCACGCCCACGTGCACATTTGGCCGCCTGACACTGATCTTGGAATAGAATAGTCAAAGAATAATAAAAATAGATAGTTGACTAAAACAAACGACTTACTTAATAATTTGTAGTTTACAATTTTTTAATCTGGTTTCAAATACATTAGATAATTTAGTACTATTTTCTAGAAGAGCGAGTAAATTTTTGTATCTTTTCTCTCTTTCTTCACTATCCATACTGTGGAGTAACTAAATTATAAATATAAAATAAAACATTCAATATTTTAATACAAAAAAAATTTTTTTTAGAAATAGAAATGTATCTATGTAGGGAATACCTTTGATACATTCTGAAAATAGTAAGTAACACTAATCATAGTTGAGTTATAATTTATAACTATATTTATATACTATTCACACATTTTAAAAAGCACTAATTGCTTTTGATATTGAACTCACAAAATTGAAGTGAATACTTTTGATGCACACATACATTTAATATTGAACAAACAATTTAAACATAGTAAAATACATACTATGTTCCATTTCCATACATTAGGTATATCAARTATTATGCTAATACGCAATTAAAATAAATTAATACTAATACCTTACATTTATAAAAATAATTACTAAATTATCCTAAAATTATTTGTAGATATATAAATTCAAAATTCAAAACATACCGCAGAGTTTTTGTCTTTTAGTATAGAGTCTTTAACATCTACAGGTGATTCCTCCATCAAAWTATCAACTTCATCTGAAAAAAATTTATCAATGAAGTAAACACTAGGTCTTAAATTTTGGGGGCAAAGTAAAAATATAATAAGAAAAATAACAACATATTGTATGCTCATTAATGATAAAAATGAACTCTAGATTTATCATATTAAGTATATTAACTGAATATTAACTGAATATTTAGATGTACATAATCATTTTTTAATCTCAAACTAAATAAACCTAAGGAAATATTATAAAAACAAGTGTATTKAATACTATGTATATTTGATGGCAATCAATTAAAAAATAAAATATTATTTTTTTAAATATATACAAAACTAACAAGGCATTTGTTAAAATGGTGAATTAGAATAAATTCTTTTAGAATAGAAATCAAAATTCTTACCAGATGAATCCACTCCATTTGTTTCATCCATTTCTGCTTTTCCTATAAAACATGATGGATGTTTTATTTATTTTTTACAATACTATAAAATGTTAATGTTTTAAATCTAAATGCAAAAATAAAATTCTGAAATATCTGTTTAAATTTGTCATGTATAAAAATTTTAATAAATATGTTAAACTAAAAAAATAGTCAATAACAATCAATATTATTAGTACCTAAATAAAAATTTGAAGATTACTTATTCTATTTTTATTTATATAAAAAAAAATACAATAATAAGAATTTTTTAATATTCAACAATTAAAAAATGTTCACAATCAAAGTTCATAAGTCACAAAAATTATAGCTTCTATAGAAYAAATTGCCTTACACACAGATAGAAAAAACTTATTTTATGTTTTCATTAGATAATGATAGTAATTTAGATAACTACAAAATTTTAATAATTTAAGTTACCAATGATAACATTAATTAATTGCACCTAATATATTATTAATTAATAATATATTATTAGATACTCTAATACTCTATGAACATATATTATCCTTAACAAATGGTAGGTATGGTATTCTTCCAAAAATTCCAGTCAAAATGTATATTTATTATTTATATTATACAAGACATATCTAAAAAATCTTGTTTTTACAAATTACCACAAAAATAGTAAAGGCCAAAAGAAATAGCCTAAGAAAAAATATCATAGCAGCATTCAACATTACTGTTGAATTAGTTTGGTATCAAATATCAGTAGGTAACAAATATCAATGACCAAAAAATGTACAGCAAAAACATGTCACCATATTGTAGACTGGAATTATTTTAAGAGATGAAGCAGTTGCAATGTTTGATAAACGTAAAAATAAAATTAGTGGTCAGACAAATTGTTCAAATGTAATAGTCATCAATTCAAGCATAAATATAATATTGAKGGATGGAAACAGAATTCCAAATATAGATAAACATTTATATCATGATATACTGTCAAAGTTGATGATCATTCAACTCAACAAAAATTACAGTACTTACCCCACATTCAAGATACATGGTTTTTTGCAGGTATGTGTTTGTAAAACAATTGATGTGGTTTTAGAACAATGCATTTTTAAAATACAAAGTAGAGATTTTTTAAAACTTTGATCTTTAATACCAATTATACAGAATTAAATAAAATTAGGGACAACCATTGATTCAGATTGATGGCGAGCATATAGCTAATTATCATGAAAAAGTAAATCATTCAAGTTTTTTTTGGGGAGGAGGGAGTTTTAGTTCACCTTAAAATAGGATGCACTAAAATAAGTGATCCCCAAGTGGACAAATTCCATGGTCAGATTTTACCTCTATACTTAAGTCTTGCACTTTTCAACCTATGGCTTTACTGGGGATCACTTCCACCCCACTTCGTCACATGGTATAGAAATATATGCCCATCCATCCAATCACTACCCTGGTTTCACAACCTAAATCTTTCCAGGAAATGTATATCTACGTTTTCCCATCTTTGTTTTGGCCACACACTACTTCTTACCCATTCTTTTAAACTATGTTTGAACGATTCTCCTCTCAGCACACTCCAAAATGACCCTATGGTTTGTGATATTAGCTACCTAATCTTTTTATGCTCCAGCCTATCAACACAACGGGATCAACTTTTTTTCCTTTTAAGCTCTGCCAACATTTTTATCGATGCTAAAAATATCTTTTCAACCCAACAAAAAAATATGATATTTTACATTTTATCCTTTTTCAACCATACAGGCTTTTTAATATAATCAGACATCTTCTTTTCTTTCTTATTTAAAAGTAACTTATTTATATCTTGTATTTCATGGCACATAATTGTTGAAACTAATTGTAACATTGTCTAAATAAAAAAAAGATACTTATTAATATTAAAGATACATGYCAAAACTATGTAAATATAGAATTAAAAACCAAAGGATGATAGATTTATTAGATCACCAACTAAAGATGAATGGTGGCAGTTTCCATTATTATAATACATCACACGACAAATTTAGTTAAAATGTTCTTGAATAACATATCGTAACAAGACTTGATATTCATGATGTTCATATGGGGCTTAGAATTTAAAACATTTGCATACATTTCTCTTGGACAATTAGATTAATTACCAAGTAAGCTTGAAATTAATTTCATAAAAAATAAAATAWAATAGTTTATAGTACCTATACATATTTAGTGATTTTGCAGTTTTTAGAGTAKATTGTTAAATTTTACGATTTTTTAAAGCATATATGGTTAGGYTATATGTAATACAAATTAATACAATTATTTAAAAGTTTATAAATAAAAAATAAAAAAACTTTAAAATGTAGGTATAGGTTTAATATAGTTTTAAATGTTCACTAGAAAGAGGCGTAATTACAGAGGTGCATCCTCTGATTTTATGTAATCAGTGTAAAAATATGCTTTTGCAATTGCAAATTACCTATACCTATTATAAAAATACAATACCTACTATATTTCATCAATTTGTTAAATTTTTGGTGCTGCTCTCATGCGGACTACCAAATGCGTGCGGTCTACCTTCATAAATTTAGACCACATATTGTAGCAAAAAATATATATAAATTATACATAAACACGTACATCCACTAAAAAATAAACATATGTCATCTATTATTTTCCAACCATGTTTATTGTTATTGAAAGATAAAGTTGTTAATATACCTAACCTACCTACAATAACTATGCGACATTATAATGAATTTAATAAATTTTTTAGTTACGTATTGGTCATTGATTATGTTGTACCTACAGCGTTCGTATTTTGTGTCCGTTTTGTATATCATGTGCATTATGCAATTGAAAGATTTTATTAGACTGTCGCAAATAGTGAAGAAAATGCCACTGCGTATTTAAGGGAGCACAGTTTATTAGATACTGTTGAAGAAACATTGCCATGTCATATGAAAATATAAACATGGTGTATTACAATTTACAATATAGGTATTATGCGATCTACGTCTTACAAGGTAGACCGCATACGTGAGTAGAAAATGTCGGTACTCGGTACCTAGTACGCATATCAGAGTAGCACTGCATKTTTTTTATAAACTTATTTAAAAATGTTGTTCTCACTTTTATTCATTTAATTTAAATATTGTATTTTTATATATATAATTATTATTGTATTATATACCATTGTGATATTTGTTTATGTTATATTGTTATAAAATATAAAAAGATACGTATAGTACACGCAATTAAAGTGATTAGTTTTAAATATGAACTATTTTGTCATTACGATTATTGGGCCGATMAAAGTTTTGCACCTGCTGAAATTTAATGGAATTACGCCAATGTCACTAGGTATTATTGTGTAGCGTTTTTCAAATCCTTAGTTGACATAGAATTTTATRTTTTAATTAATATTTAATTAGTATAAAATAAAGTGTATATTTTAATAAAATACTATGTAAAATATACTTATTAAGTAGATATTTATGAAATTTGTGAACTTAAAAAAAGTGTATGAACATTTTATTTATTTTAATAGWWATTTTTGAATCGCATTAAGTTCCGAACCCTAAATTCATCAGTAATATCTAAAAAAAAGTAGCTTTTAACTTTAATTAATTAAATTARTTAAATTAAAAATAGATAAACAATTATTAACCTTGCACACCCGAACGGCAAACAAATAGATAAAACATTGCATATGATGATAATTATTAATTTACATGAATATTATGAAAACCCTAATTCTATATTAAGAAATGTTATAGCCTCGGCATGTTCAACATTTCAACCATGAACAGCGAATATCCAGAGATTAGAGAACAACGATTTACAAATATTATTATATTGAACTGCTATTTATAACACGATAATAGTAAAACGTAGTATATAATAATAGACAAGTGCTTTCATAGCAACAACTACAACCATTGATTAGTATTTTTAATCAACATAATATATCATACCATCTATATAGTCCTACTTGTTCTTGTTCACTCTCACACCGTCATACTTTTATGATAGCAGCCATCGGGTTTTTCAATAATCGTGTGGACCTTCCTGTGTCATGTGTGTGCGTTAAATACCACTCAACCACTCATACAGATACTGTAYAACGTATACGTAATTAATGTTTCGGGGAATYTTAAACAAACAACCGCCCTGTTATCGATTTTACTGTTATTTTTAAATCGTGTACTTTCACGATGTTAATACGTCTCGTACTTGTGTATTTTTAGAAATAATAAATTATGATTTATATTTAAATATAGCTTATAAGTTTGTATGACGTGTATATTATGTTTACACAGTCCTAACATATCGTAAAATTGAAATTGTTCACAATAATATGAAACGAAATCTGTACATTATTAAAACATATTATATGAATAAAATTAATAAAAATACAAAACGGAACACCCAAAAGACGTGTAGCTGATAATAATTAAGAACTTTACAATTTGCTAAAAAAAAAAAAAACTCTTAAAAGACGCCTGTCATACGAATACGTTCATAAAGCATGAATAAATTGTACTTCCAATTTTTTTTTCTACAATTATATGGAAAACTTATTACAAAATCAGTGACATACACAGAAAAAAGTTTTGGGTGGTATTCTTGAAAATCAGTTATTTCTATTAGAGTATGTATAATATGACAATTAACATTAAAATATAATAAGTAAAATTTACTATTTAATAACCATACAAAAAACAAATATTTCGGGGGGTGTTTGAACACTTCTCTGTGTACGTAGTTGAATAAAATCAATGAGACATTAAATATAACCACTTGACAGGCACATCATATTTTAGTCATAGGAAAACTAGAAAGATAATATACCTACCTAGTTGTTAAATACTTTAATAAAAATAATGATACATAATATTATGATATTATTATTCATTAGGTATGATATCATATTATCATTTAATTTATAATTTTAATCAACTATAATAATGTATAAACCACAGGAGCCCTCCACCCACGATCAGCTATCAAACCCATTTAAYTGTTTCCGAGTAAGTAATAGGTATACTCGAGTACTCACCAAAAACAACGAAATCGCCGGTCAGTCAGTCAGTTAGGAATTTCCAATCTGTAATCGGTCTAGTGTCTACTGACAAACAGCAACTGCCAACTGGTAAATTGTAATTTTGTGAGTAAAAAGTGAAAAATTTACAATAAACYAACGGATAAGAAATAACAAAATTAAAAACTGGCAAGAAGCCGAGAGCCCGAAGAAGACGACAACGCACTAACGAGTAAGAGTAACGGACAATACGAGTATAAGACACACGCGAGAGTGCGAAATGCGAATCGAGCTCGGCCGTCCGCGCCTCTTGCGGTCATTACGTCGATTGTTGGCGGCACGAGTGGAAGGGAAACAGTTTCGCGTTTGATTCGTCGTCGTCGTCATTTGCCTTGGCGCGCGCCAGTACAAGCACCTCCTTCAGGCGACCGGTTCAAGTTATTACACGATAACGCAATGTTCGTTGTTGAATATAATTATTTATAAATACAAAACTATGGTATTTTGGTATTATGCCGAACTACGATTATGAATTTACGATGTGTACGAAATACGAGCCATGACTGCACAATTAGTGCACGATCGTGCCATAATAATTATTATTATAATAGTCTCAATTCTCAAATCTGGGACTAGACAGTATTTGTTCGCAGAATAACTGCAGTTTAAATTTAACTATTGAGTTTTTACGAAGCATTTAAGAATAATGTGGAAATTTACTTAGTTATTTTATTTCATATATCGAAAGTTTTTAAACATGTTTAATTAAAGTGGGAAAGGCGTCATGATGGCACATTGTGTAAATAGTTGTATATTTATTACTATTCAAGTATTACACAATTATCGATTAATTAAAGATTTCACCCTGAAATAAAAAACATTTTGCGTGAGAATTGACGACCGAACAGTGGGCTTATAATTTTATACCATAAGTAATAAATCTTATAAATTGTATATATAATATATATATAATTTAGTTTTTATATTTATTCTTCATGATTTATACTTTAACATTTTTAGGATAGTTGGTACCTATACGACATACGTAAGCGAATAACTCAATAATGCAAAATATAGTTTAAGGATAGAAAGCCGGAAATGAGCTACATAATACAACATACGTACTTTGGCTACATTTGTTTCGGGTGGCGTTTGCTCTGGACTGAAATATTGCCATCTCGCACAAACCACACGCGTGATCGTCAATGGTGGCATGTTGTATTGTTGACAGTTGTACCATAGATTAAATATACTATAGATAGCCCACGTCATAGGAAAAAACGGCAACCAGATATGCAGACGTTTTGGACCCCGGCTGAGCAGTACCAATGGACCCCTATACGATCGCAATAAATGTTATAGATTTTGCGCATTCGCGGACGTTAATACCGCGCGCCGTCCAGTTGTAAAACTTGAAAAAGCAACTATAACTATAAATTTGTTGTAACTTGCGCGTCTGACATCTATTCTATGATATGT